GGAAGAAATAAGCCCATGTATAGGGAGTCCAGTACCTAAAAAATGAAACTTAGCCAAATTTGGCAACAAAACGAATCGAATCATTGTTCTAGTACCTCAAAACACAAATGAATCGAATTACCAAGAGTGTTCGGATTCGTTAGGCAAAGTCTCTAGGCACTCAGGTTTTGAAGATTCCAACAGGAGGGTGCAGAACGAAGGGACGGCGGTGCAAACTTTCTTCGGCTCTCGATCGTCTGTGTCGACAAAGCACTTCGACGAAGACAGGGGATTCTTCGTTTTTTTGTACTGAATGACTACAGAAGGAGGAATACGGTGAAGGATTAAGGAGTTAAGTGGAGGCATGTGCTAGAGACTAGAGAGAGTTTGAATCGACGATGGTGAAGCTCGCCGGTAATTTTATGTTCACAGACGAAGCCTCGATCGAGGGAGACGCCTCTCGGTCAATCCCTTTCCTTCGCTATTTTGTTACAGGAGAAAAGAAAAGCAGTAGAGAAATAAATGAATTTTGAATTAATAAATGGTAAATTAATAAGAAATAGCCAAATGGCTGAGTGGAAATTCCGTCTCGTCTCTTTGGTTCGGCTGTCGAGTGGGTCAATAGGTTTAAATTGGATTTGTGCCACCCAATTCCATGCCACCTCATATCCGCGTGGCCCAATTAAAATGTATGTTACCGGTGCCGCAATTTTAATAGCGGCACCGTAGCATTGGCCGCGGATTCAAGGAAATGAAAAGTAAAGCAAGCTATGGACTACGGACTACGAAAGTGGTAACGGGCCGAATGGGAAGAGTTGGGCCGAAGTCTGTTGGTGCTCCTCACACGAGGTTGGCCTCTGGCCCTTCGCCCCGTTCCATTCAGCCCTCTCTCTGAATCTGGGAAGAGGGAACGAAACATAGCAGGGGGAGGAGAAGCAGATTGAGGGATCTTCGCAACCTTAGAAGGAGCGGTTCACCGGTGGACGGTGGTGGCTAGAGAATGACAACCCAGATAAGGAAATTCTAGACCGGAAAAGGAACAAATAGAGGAGAAAGCAGAGCCGACCGACCTTTCCACCGACCATGTCGAACGAGAAATCCAAGAGAGAGAGAGGCAGAACTAGATGAAGGACTTGGCACCGACTGGAGGATGTCCTGGATGGCGATGCCGTAGCAGCAGCCACATCGACGTAGTTAGAAATATAGGTTAATGGGGTCAAGGATTATGAGTTGCAACATGTGTCTCAATGATATAACATTGTCTTCAAAAGAGAGGGTTTATGGTCAAAATTTGTTGGTGTCACCTTAAGAACATACCACTTTTAATGTGTACTCATTTTCCAAGTGAGTTCCGTATATTGGAGAAACGAAATCTGGGAAGTTTGTTGTTGGGTACGAACCTGAACCAAGGATTCCACAGTCCACAAAGCTTACTACTAAAAAAACAGTCTATGGCAAGGGTTTTAACCCCTGCTACAAGGTGTAGCAAGGGTTTCTCCAACCCCTGCACAAACTCTCGCCAATGCTGCCCCTGCTACATGTACCAAGGGTTTTAAGCAACCCACGATGGAAGTCCCCTTCAAGGGTTGTAGCAAGGGTAAAACCCTTGCTACAGTAGCATGGGTTTTAAAACCCCTGCTACATTGTAGTGTAAAATCCAAAAGTGAGATGTTCGTAGCATGGGTTAGAACCCCTGGTAGATTCGTTACTAAAACTAGCGAGGGGTAAAACCCTTGATTTCTTAGTGGCTAATCAGTTTCGCAACCAACTCAAAACCGTCACTAAAGCTAGAATGGGAACATTTTGATTGAATAGAAACGGTGGCTAAAGAGAACCTAATATTGGTGGCCATAAGTTGGTTGCAATTACTCTCGTCACTATACACAAATCAATAACCAAGCTTGTTGCTTGCTAATTTTTCATATATATCTTTCTTGGTTTAACTTAATACACAATAGTAGCCAAATCATACAATACAGGCATACACTACTGAGTACTGATCAATATCCATCATTCATCCCATGATTCCCGATCCAAGATAAAATTGTTTTCATGACTAAATGGTAATTATCATAAATATTCAAACATCATTAAAAAAAATATGGTCTACTATTCATAATATTCTAAGTACCAAAAGAACATAATGATCTACTCATTATGATCAGACATCTTTCAAAGCCATAGGAAAACATCACTATGGAGAGAAGCTTTATGTTCTTCATCACCTGATATTTGCAGCTCAATGTAAAAGTCAGAAATCACATTCTCCTTCCCCTTTAGATAAATGAGGGAGAATCTATAGAAGATTAGTTTAAGCATAAAGTAGCTGGCACCAAGAACTGCAACTACAACAAAACTGCAACTAGAAAATGAATTTGCTTCAGAAAATTAAAAAAACACTGATTGCCAAAACCTAATGAAACACCAAGAAGAAAGTGAAGTATGAAACTTTGAGAAGAAACCATCATTTGGAATAATCAAACAAGACCAAATGAAGCAACACATTTCATGAAACAATGCAGCAAACTTTAATAGCTAACTATAATGAATAGTTCAACAAGGATTACCCTTATGTTGAGGTAGACTATGAGGTATGAGCTAACCAATTTAAGTAGTGAACTGAGAAGAGCTTCCTGCATGTTCCAGCAGTAGATTAGGATTTGTTTAAAAAGTAAAAGAAAAGATGGCCATTGTATGTTTACCTTTTTTGTTCTTTGACTGATTACACTGGTTGATTCAATAAAAAACTTCATATGGATTTATCTTGAGCAGCTGCAGCAACAAAAAAGAAATGAAAGAGGATTTATGGAATAAGATATAAAGATACTTGGATATTATCTCCAGAAATTCATACCTAGCATCAGCACAGTCTAGCACATCTTGGTAACCAGCATCTTTGTCTGCAGTGTACAAGCCAACCTCTTTGGATCAGACCTAGTGATACGTTCAATAGCCAAGGATCAAATACCGGACAGGATCATAAACAACTGAATGTGTATGAATACGACTAAAAATGACAGTTGTCATTTTGTACCAGAATTCACCCACTGATGTCCCTCCAGTTGCATAGCTGTGAGAAGAGTTGATAATCTCAATGAAGTATGTCCCGATTTCCTGGCACATCGAATGAGATTGAGAAAAAAAATCATAAAACAAACACCAAGCATTTCAACCAAATACTTAAACCTTCCCAGTTTCATCAGGTATTGAAAAGTTGTTTGAATGATCATTCTCATAAGAAGCTACAACTATAATATTTGTTCAATGACATCCAATGTTTCCACCAATTTGCCACATTGCTCAGTTAGAATCATATAGGACAATCGAACAAGCCATTGATCACCTTATAACTTGGGCAAGTTTATCCAGTTTCCAGTTCACTGTTATGATAAGTAAAACTGGTCTCTGTATGCTACAGCTTCCTACAACAACAACAAAAGACATTCCACCACAGTACATGAGGAAGGATTTCTTGTAGTACCTGTAGATTAATGATGAGAACAAAAGGAAGCTTCTTCCCAGCTGTTATCTGTAATGAAAGGTAAGATTAGTGGATACATTGACTTCCAGGCTAAAAGAGGATACTTGAGGCAAGCACAATCTAAAGGAAAACCTAACACTAGTACATTATATAGAGTTTTATTACAACCAATCAACTACTATTAACTGGAAGGGGAACTCCACCCACCGCCTGAATTATTATTACAACCAGTATAAGCACAGAAAAGAGAACTAGTCACCAAGCATGAGAAGTGTGTAGCACCTTCTCATCATACTGCTTCTCCCTAACTTCAAGATGCGATAGTGTCCTCAATCAAAAGAGCAAACCAACACAAAAATCAAGGTGAAAAATGACAAGCAGTATCTTCATCTTCCTTGCCCGAGATCTTATATGCAACTCCCCACTGCAATCTTTGTCAAAGTGAAAAATGACAAGCAGGTTAAAAACAATGGATTGTGAAATCCTCTTGGGGACGAACATGACCGAGGCAGGCTCGAATAGATGTACAGTATCAAAACTATAAGAACTCATTATAATATCGTGATAAAACCATGTCGACCTGGTCAGTGATACAAGATAAGGGGGGAAAACCAGGGATTGGTAAGAACTAGTATAACAAACGACATTAGCTTCTTGCAATTGCTGATCGTCAATGATCAGGGCTAAGTTACTACTATGAACAAAGGGAACCAAGTACCATCACTAGTAACCAAAATGTAATATAATTGAAGGGAACACTTCAATAAAATTCTAATTCCAAGTAGACGAAAAAAGTAGAAGAAAAGAACTAACGCAAAATTCTCCATAAGCAGGCTCCAAAGTGACGGAGACACATAAGTGGATTTTCTAAATCCACATCACAGACTCCAAAGCATCATTTACATGTATACGATAAATAGGACAATACATCTAAAACATGTTACACCCCGACTTTTTGGTTCAGGTTCGACCATAGTAAATGAACGGTTGGATCGACGGTTACATACAAAGAGTTACAACCATAATTTGGAGATAATAATAACATTAATAACTACAATTATTATTATTATTATTATTATCATCTTTAATCATCATCTTTAATATTCTTATAAAAAAAAAAAAGAGAAATCCACCCACCCCACTATTAATATTATTATTGTTAGTGTTATCATCATCACATATGCACTTATGGAACTTTATATTATTATGATTATCTCCCCATCACCCACACGTTACTAGCAACTAAAGGGTGGGAATCAAGTATTAAGATAACCATAAACCCTCCCCGTAACTTTCGCCCTTTCCGCCCGTAACGCGTCCCATTCATTTTATCCCAGCCTTATTTTTTTTATTATGAGAGCAGCGGCGGAAGACTGAGAAGAAAAGAAAAATACATTTCACAAAAGCCCCGACCCATCTCCTTGCTCTCTTCTCTCTTCGCAAAACGGAAGCGGTAGCCGCCGTCGCCGTCTTCATCGCTGACGAGTAGGAGCAGTGCACATCACCACCGCCAGACGACCAGCAGCAAGGTTAGCGACAGATAAAACGGTAGAAGCTCGCCCGGTTCACGCCGTGCCACACTCCACCTCCCCGGATCGTTGCCTTGTCGTTCTCGGATTTACTCCACGTCAAGAAAAGGAGGGGAAAATGAGAGAATAGAAAGAGAGGGAAAGGAATGATTCTGGGCGTTGGTTTTTGCTCGGAAGAAGATGAGAAACCATTCTATGGAGTCGGAATCCAAGTTGGAGGTCGTTAGAGGGTTCGTCGGAGCTTCGCCGGAACGTCGCCGGAGTGTCGCCGGATTCTGGAAAAATAAACTTCGACGAAACTTCAAAAGATGAATATGGTTGCGTAGAGGGCGATCTCAGGAGCGTCACGGTGTCGACGAAATCGAATTCGGACGTCGGATGAGGGAGAACGGAGTCTCCCAAGTTTGAGGAAGATTGTGTCAACGATCAGGTACCATTCTTGGAAATTCGAAAAAATAGGAGGATTAAATCTGTAATTTTCCAGAGAGGTCGGGTCAACTGTGTTGACTGGAAAATTTCAGTTTCGGTACTTGGTACTTCTAAACTGACAGAATATTTATTTTGGCCATAACTCGATCAATTGACGTCCGATCGAGGAACCGTCTGCGCCTATGGAATCGTGGAGACGAGTAGAATTTAATGGGAGCGATACATGGAATTTTTAGAGCAGAATCAGCGTCGGGTTCGACAGTATGAGGTGAGTGTTCAAGGGGGTAAATTCTACGCCTTACGTATTTTCAAGTATTTGCCTTACATGTTTTAAGTATTTGTCTTACGTGAAGTTTATGTGCACTGCTTGAGTTGTGATTGTGTTGATTATGCATGCTCGACTTGAATTATTGTTTGAGTGTTTCAATATCTACATTTAAGCATTTAAGTTTCTGTTCATACGACGTTTAACCGCTTAATAAGTTATGACGATAAGAACGGGAGAAAGTCACGAGTAAGAATAAGTTAGCCTCGCTTAGCTAGCCACTAGCTAGAAGGAGTCCTACCGGACGGTGATAAGTTCCGCGGTAGTTGATCACTACCGGATGGTGATTCGTTCCGCGGTAGTTGGTCAGGCGTGGAGCCGGACGGTGATGAGTTCCGCGGTTTCCATTGCTTGGTTTTAGGTGTGCTACCGGATGGTGATACGTTCCGCGGTAGTCACGCCGTAGTTTGACACCGGATGGTGATTCGTTCCGCGGTGGTCAAACCCATTTGAGGGGCACCCCATTGTGAGGGTAGTCATGTTTAATAAAGTAAGAAAGTAAGTAAAGCTAGTAGTGGCGCCAGCTAAGTCGAGGTAGGGGCCCCAATAAGATAAAGGATGAAATAACACAGTTTTAAGAGTTAAAGTTTAAGGGAGGAAGTACAAACAACCTCCATAAGCTTAAGTCAATGTTTTAAGCAAAGTGCTCAAGTATTAAAAGTAATAAACGTAAGGGCGTAGACTGACCCCATCTCACTCACCAGTTTGAAGAGTACTAAGAGGAGTTAGAGAGCCGCGAGCTTGAGAGGAGCAAGGCAAGGCGAGTAGCCGCACCAGCATTGACGAGATGTCCCGGAATTAAGCAAGGAGTTATAGTTTGTTTAGTCAGTTGTGTTTATGATTATGAGTATAACTGGAGGTTCAAAGGTTGAGGTTTAATGACTATGCATTTGAGTTTTGCCCACGTGTTTAGGGCATTGCATTTGACGTTTTTCTTGGGAATGTTTAAGTTTTTAAGCTTTGTTTTTAACCGGCTCCGGAGCCATGATTATTTCGGTTGTTTAAAAGGATCGGGGTGTTTCATTTTGGTATCAGAGCCGGCACTCCTCTGTTTCTTGGCCTCCAAGGAATACTGGAGTGACGATCTGAGTTTTTCAAGGTTCATGTTTTTAAAGGTAAGGAAAAAGGGTGTCAGGTTAAAGGTTTGGCCAAACGAGTCAGAGTTTCTTTTAAGGATTTTTGGAATCTCCAGTTTATACTCAAATCATGATTAGGAAGATAACTCCAGGAGACAGTATGAGGTTTTGACACGTCTCGGCAAGGAGAAACAACAGATCCTTCGAGGATCGCTTACTGAAACCTCTTCCTGAGTGAGAAGAGGAGGGTCAAGGCTTCTCCGATACTATGGGGATGTGAGCTTATCAGAATAAGGTTCAGAACGGGGTCGAGTATCTAGTACGTCGACAAGAAATGGCCAAGGAGTTATGACAAATGGCGACCATCATCAAGAGGAAAGGATGCAAAGAGGATTCGCTAAGATCAAGATGATCGAGCTTAGGGTGTGACCCCAGGGAGAAGTGGAAAGTTAGATTTTGGGTAACGATGGGAGCATATAGGTAGGACTTAGAATAGGTCTTAAGGAGTCCGACGAGTCTTCAAGGAGCCGGCGACAAGTGTTGGAAGGGAGGAGCCATTCAACGAGATAGACGATGTTAGGTACGAGGCTTGGGAATGTCGCAAGGGACAAATTTCGAGGTCGAAATTTTCTTAAGGGGGAAGGAAATGTGATACCTCGATTTCGATTTAAGGTCCAACACCAAGTACTGAATGAGCTAGACCAGTAATTTGAATCAAAATTTTGGGCCGTCACCCGAGCGAGGGAATTAAAGAAGACAAGTAGCCACTCAAAGCTACTTGATGCTAACAAGTTTGGGAGAATAGCCACTCAAAGCTACTTGATGCTAACGAGAAGCAACGGACATCGTTGAAGTCCATATAGCAAGAGTGAATTATTGAGCCAAGGAAGCACGAGAATGAGGACTATGGAAGGATGAGTCCGATCAAATTTCGAGGACGAAATTTTTATAAGGGTGGAGGAAATGTTACACCCCGACTTTTTGGTTCAGGTTCGACCATAGTAAATGAACGGTTGGATCGACGGTTACATACAAAGAGTTACAACCATAATTTGGAGATAATAATAACATTAATAACTACAATTATTATTATTATTATTATTATCATCTTTAATCATCATCTTTAATATTCTTATAAAAAAAAAAAAGAGAAATCCACCCACCCCACTATTAATATTATTATTGTTAGTGTTATCATCATCACATATGCACTTATGGAACTTTATATTATTATGATTATCTCCCCATCACCCACACGTTACTAGCAACTAAAGGGTGGGAATCAAGTATTAAGATAACCATAAACCCTCCCCGTAACTTTCGCCCTTTCCGCCCGTAACGCGTCCCATTCATTTTATCCCAGCCTTATTTTTTTTATTATGAGAGCAGCGGCGGAAGACTGAGAAGAAAAGAAAAATACATTTCACAAAAGCCCCGACCCATCTCCTTGCTCTCTTCTCTCTTCGCAAAACGGAAGCGGTAGCCGCCGTCGCCGTCTTCATCGCTGACGAGTAGGAGCAGTGCACATCACCACCGCCAGACGACCAGCAGCAAGGTTAGCGACAGATAAAACGGTAGAAGCTCGCCCGGTTCACGCCGTGCCACACTCCACCTCCCCGGATCGTTGCCTTGTCGTTCTCGGATTTACTCCACGTCAAGAAAAGGAGGGGAAAATGAGAGAATAGAAAGAGAGGGAAAGGAATGATTCTGGGCGTTGGTTTTTGCTCGGAAGAAGATGAGAAACCATTCTATGGAGTCGGAATCCAAGTTGGAGGTCGTTAGAGGGTTCGTCGGAGCTTCGCCGGAACGTCGCCGGAGTGTCGCCGGATTCTGGAAAAATAAACTTCGACGAAACTTCAAAAGATGAATATGGTTGCGTAGAGGGCGATCTCAGGAGCGTCACGGTGTCGACGAAATCGAATTCGGACGTCGGATGAGGGAGAACCGAGTCTCCCAAGTTTGAGGAAGATTGTGTCAACGATCAGGTACCATTCTTGGAAATTCGAAAAAATAGGAGGATTAAATCTGTAATTTTCCAGAGAGGTCGGGTCAACTGTGTTGACTGGAAAATTTCAGTTTCGGTACTTGGTACTTCTAAACTGACAGAATATTTATTTTGGCCATAACTCGATCAATTGACGTCCGATCGAGGAACCGTCTGCGCCTATGGAATCGTGGAGACGAGTAGAATTTAATGGGAGCGATACATGGAATTTTTAGAGCAGAATCAGCGTTGGGTTCGACAGTATGAGGTGAGTGTTCAAGGGGGTAAATTCTACGCCTTACGTATTTTCAAGTATTTGCCTTACATGTTTTAAGTATTTGTCTTACGTGAAGTTTATGTGCACTGCTTGAGTTGTGATTGTGTTGATTATGCATGCTCGACTTGAATTATTGTTTGAGTGTTTCAATATCTACATTTAAGCATTTAAGTTTCTGTTCATACGACGTTTAACCGCTTAATAAGTTATGACGATAAGAACGGGAGAAAGTCACGAGTAAGAATAAGTTAGCCTCGCTTAGCTAGCCACTAGCTAGAAGGAGTCCTACCGGACGGTGATAAGTTCCGCGGTAGTTGATCACTACCGGATGGTGATTCGTTCCGCGGTAGTTGGTCAGGCGTGGAGCCGGACGGTGATGAGTTCCGCGGTTTCCATTGCTTGGTTTTAGGTGTGCTACCGGATGGTGATACGTTCCGCGGTAGTCACGCCGTAGTTTGACACCGGATGGTGATTCGTTCCGCGGTGGTCAAACCCATTTGAGGGGCACCCCATTGTGAGGGTAGTCATGTTTAATAAAGTAAGAAAGTAAGTAAAGCTAGTAGTGGCGCCAGCTAAGTCGAGGTAGGGGCCCCAATAAGATAAAGGATGAAATAACACAGTTTTAAGAGTTAAAGTTTAAGGGAGGAAGTACAAACAACCTCCATAAGCTTAAGTCAATGTTTTAAGCAAAGTGCTCAAGTATTAAAAGTAATAAACGTAAGGGCGTAGACTGACCCCATCTCACTCACCAGTTTGAAGAGTACTAAGAGGAGTTAGAGAGCCGCGAGCTTGAGAGGAGCAAGGCAAGGCGAGTAGCCGCACCAGCATTGACGAGATGTCCCGGAATTAAGCAAGGAGTTATAGTTTGTTTAGTCAGTTGTGTTTATGATTATGAGTATAACTGGAGGTTCAAAGGTTGAGGTTTAATGACTATGCATTTGAGTTTTGCCCACGTGTTTAGGGCATTGCATTTGACGTTTTTCTTGGGAATGTTTAAGTTTTTAAGCTTTGTTTTTAACCGGCTCCGGAGCCATGATTATTTCGGTTGTTTAAAAGGATCGGGGTGTTTCAAAACATAGTATCACAATCAAACTGAGTAGTTGTAGAGGAAACAGACCTTCATTCCAATGAAGCAAGTCTTTTACTGCATCTGGAGAAGATGGCTAGTGACTCTCCACCTGCAATTCACCATAGAATTCTAGCAGTGCTTTCACTTTCAAAAGAACCACATATTTAACCGCACCAATGATAAACCTGTGTAATGATTTAGTGCAATAGCAATCAAACTTGATGCCAACAACCATATCAATGCTCAATCAAAGACAAATATGAAGGGAAAAAGGCTCCAAAGAGCACACAGTTGTGGGTACAAAATTGCAGAAACTAATCAAATAACCATGTATGTTAATTCAATCTTTCAGTAGCAATATCCCTCATTATCAAGGTTAAACTCAACCATCTTAATCAACTTTTCAAACAATTATGCTTAGCATCACTCACCGATCATCATTTGCCTCTTTAAACAACTAAGTAAACAACCATTTTTAACCAACCTGGGCAGCAAAGTAATGAAAATACCTTAGGCATGATAGATCTTTGATTCCCCCCTTAGGAATTAGGATGGACCCAATTCCTAAGTATCCAATCCCTTGTTCAGTCGACATAGCAGCAGCCGAACGTCTTAAAATTGTTAGAAACGGAACAACAACAAGATGAGGATACCGAATCTGGAGCTGAGTCGCGGACTAGGTCGCTTTCTTTAAGACGTTCGCGGCACTGCCCTCGATGCGCACGGCAGACTATCAACCGGTCGTCTCCAGGATAAAACAGCTCCTCTGTGTACTCGCGGTTTTGTGCGAAAACCGGAGCTCTCTGAACACTCTCTCTATTGTGTTTATGCTCGTTGTTGTGTGTATAGAGGGGCTGGGGAGGCGGCTATTTATAGGAGCCGAACCCCTAGGAATATACCCTCTTGCTTGGGGAATAAGTCGGATTAATTAAGGAAGATAATCTTCCTTAATTAAACCGTCGGTTAGGATAAATCCTGCGGAGATTATCCTTCGAATATTCCTCTTCAATCGATTATCCCTTGGAATATTCCTCAGAGTAACCGATTAATAATTAATTATTAAATAATTAATTTCGTTCGGAATTTCTCCAAAAAATATGTATATAGTCTCAAGTGATCCATCCATCCATCCAACCAACCAACCAACCGAGGTCGGTCGGTCGGTCGGACGGACGGCGCGCGCGCGCGTGTGTGTGGTGGTCCGTTAGGTCCTCCCTCTCCCACAAAAGTGGGTCACCCCAAGGGGCATGCCCTTAGGAGAGAGGCTCCTATCTTTATACTCATTTCACCAAGTAAAACTACCAATGTGGTAGTTTTTCCACTTGAGACTCTATAGCTTTCAAAGCTATTCATACACATTTCCAACAAGGACGGGAAGCTTCGACAGCTCCGTAGTCCCTTTAACCTGAGAAATTCAAAGTTCCCAGCGAAAGGAAATTATATTCGTAATCGAAAGAAGATGAGAGAGTATAATCAGGATTTGATGAAAACCTTCTTCTAATTCTGGCAGGGCGAGCGGTCCTGTCGACTTGTCTAGTTCTGGCTTGGGCTTGAACAATGGCTAAGAGCAATTATGAGCTCTGGTGTGGATTCCCGATCGCTAGCGACGGAGGTTCATGTGAAAACTGATCTCAACAAAATATTTGAATATGACGATAGGAAGCCAGTGCAGGATGTCAATGTCGCCATATCTTGAACCACATGGAATGTTTCCGATCGAAATCTCGTGGTGATTCTTCTAATTAAGCTGATAGTAGGTCTGAAAATCGGAGCGGAGTTGACGTTGGCGACAGTGGTTGGATCTTGGTGATGATACTAGGGCTGAAAATCGAGCTGGAAAGAAGACGGAGATTGAAGAAGGGTTTTCAAATCGAGGAACGGAACAAAGAGAGGGATTATAGATCTCGAATTAGTTGTGCGAGTAGCAGGGGATCAAGAACCCTTGTCACAAACCCCCGGAAGTGGGAGTTCTGAAAAAGTTACCGGGGGTTTGATCAACCCTTGCTATTGAACCCGGTATAGGGAGCGGATCGTGTCAGTAACTGATGGGTATGGGTCAGTAACCCATCAGTAACTCCTTCTCTGATCTTCACGTGTCAGTCCTCTTTTTTTATTTAAATTAAATGCGGAAGGGCAGTAAAGTAAAATTGCACTTACACCTATTTTAATACTGACGCTGATTTTTGACCGGACCACATCATCACCTTCTTCTCTTTCCTCGAAAAAGCTTTAATTTTTCTTCTCTTAATCTTTAACGGACGATTTCTCACTCGTTTTAAGTCGGAATTTAATTTTTTTTGCACAGTTAGATCAGATTAATTGTGCCCTTCAAAATGATATCCACTTTGATATTTTTTGGACATAAAAAAATTTCCAGTTATTACCAGTCTATACCATATGGTATTGACTGGTATTAAATAAGACCATACCACATGGTATTGTAATATCAATATATATTTCATTACCACCCAATACCATATGGTATTGGGTGGTATATATTTCGTTACCACCCAATACCATATGGTATAGTGTTGTAATATCACACAATACCATATAGTATATAGTGGTAATATCAATATATATTTCGTTACCACGCCATACCATACATTACCACAGGGTATAGTGTGGTAATATCAATATATATTTCGTTACCACCCAATACCATATGGTATAGTGTGGTAATATCAATATATATTTCGTTACCACACAATACCATATGGTATAGAGTGGTAATATCAATATATATTTCGTTACCACGCAATACCATACATTACCATAGGGTATAGTGTGGTAATATCAATATATATTTCGTTACCACCCAATACCATATGGTATAAAGTCATAATATAAATATATATTATCTAGAAGGAGAAAAACAGAAGGAGGGAGAGAAAAAAAACGTGTTCTGATGCCTCTCATTTCCTCTTCCTCAATCAAGAACACCAAAATGCCAAAAAAAAATGAGAAAGATCGGAATTGAGGCCAACGAGTTGATGAAGAGAAGAAATGCAATGAAAGAGAGTGGCTGCAATTTTTGTTCGTCGATTGCTAGAGAAAAAAATGAAGAAGGAAGAGAGCAGATCTAAATTTGAAAAGGAGATTGTGAAAGAAAAAGTAAGAGAGAAGGAATAGAGAAAGAGAAAGGATCTGGAAAGAGATTGAAAGAAAGAAAGAGAGAATGAAGAAAGTTGAGTTGCAGAGAAAATGCCATTCTCTCTTTTTTATTGAAAAGTTAGTCATTGAAATGCGGAATGAATAAAAAAATAAAAAATTCGAAACGGACAAAAACGCCCCTCCCCACCCCACATCCAGTCCAGCCACACGATTGCTTCATTCCCAAATCGACGGCTCCCGTGTGATTACTGATGGGTCAGTAACCACTGGTTACTGACCCTATCTTGGACCTTGGTATAGGGCACTTTTTTTTTGTAGTGTTGTAGCACGACTTTGTTTCTACCAATTAGTAATGAGCTGAGCTGGGAGTGAACAACGCTGTTCTACTTGGTGTCCATTTTGTTTCAATAAAAATTGTACAAGGCACGTGTCTATTTTTTATTGGTAGTTAGTGTTTAGTTAGTTTATTACAGCGGCGGACCTAGGACATAAGAGAGCACTGGGCCGCATTTGAATAGAATATTAGATACCATAAAC